CATTGGACTTCCAAGGTAATGGGATGCGTGTGCACGAAGAACATGGCGGTGATGAACATGGCTGGCGGAGTGAGCAAGCAGAGACCGGGGGACCGGTTCAGGGGCATAGCCAGCTGGCCATCGCTACTGGTTCGGCGACCTTGGCAAAATTTCTGCCAACGATTTGCGCGAACTGGTGCAAACTGGCTGAATACCACCTCTGGTCTCTACATCTGGTGACTACATAGACACATCCATGTAGTTTTATGGGTATCGGACAGAAGCAATTTGCTAATCCCTTCTTCCAAGATGTTTCTTCAACTTCCTAGCTGAGCCTACAGCTTTGGGATTTCTGATAGTTTCCCATCTAAGAGTTAATCACTTCTAACCCCTTTAAGATTTTTCAAGGTCAGTCAAGATCAGCTAAATGGATTCATCCTGCTTGACAATAATGCTAATATATAACTAACAGTGATCAAAACCGAAATAAAACCAGGAGCTTTCCTGGGTCTTTTAATACTGTTCTTTTTAACCATTGTAGATTTTTTTTTAAAATCAGAGATGACCAAAAATTACACTTAACCCGGAGGGAGGGAGAAGCAAAGGCCACATCCTCTCCCTGTCTTAATCTCCCCCTCCCAAGTTGACATATGTTTAAACTGTGTTAGATCTATTTCAGTTTAATTTATCAACCCCATTGCAAAAAAAGTGGGAATGCTTATACTCTCAACCTTTATGAAGGAGGCAGTGCATCTGAGGACTACCAATTGACTTTAAATAGCTGCAAGGAGGGGGGATTTTCTGCTAGAACCAACCTTCCAATCAATTCATTTCCTTGTTCAGATCCTTACAGTTCTTGAGAAATGAAGGATCCTGGCTGCTAATCAAATGTAATATTGCCTTTGAGAGGTAAACTGAGGTTATCATGATCCCAGGCTTCCTAGCAGCTAGATGGAGGGACATGTCAGAGTATATTCATCAACTGGAATAGGACATGGTAACAAGGTCAGCCAATGTATAGGCATAGCAACTAAGTCAGCCAATGAGGGCTGTTTGGGAGCTGAGACAGACTGGAGCCAGGGCGTGTCTTAGTCTGCAGCTTCTGAGTTTGTGCAGAGAAACTGAAACTAGTCTGCTCTGTTGAAATGAAACTAACCGGTCTCTCCTGCCTTGTATTTTGCTTGTAACTGCTACCACGTTGAAGAAGAATCTATATTGGTATTGTACCTTTATCTTCATGTATTATTATGTATATAAAGAAGTTAATGAATCCTGCTGAATCAGTCTGCCTATGTATGCTTTCTGGATTTGATTTTTGACAGAAACTCTGACAGGACACTATTTGATTCAATTCAGAATAGAACTGGAAGAGATCTTGCGGGGGGGGGTCTTCTAGTCCAACTCTCTGTTCAAACAGAAGACCTTATCCAATTTCAGACAAGTGGCTGTCCAGTCTCTTCTTAAAAACCTCCAGTGATGAAGCATCCACAACTTCTGGTGGCAAGTTATTCCACTGGTTAATTGTTCTCACTATTAAGAAGTTTCTCCTTAATTCTGGGTTGCTTCTCTCATTAGTTTTGATCCATTGCTTCTTGTCCTGCCCTCTGGAAAATAAGTTGACCCCCTCTTCTTTGTGGCAGCCCTTCAAATGCCAGAATACTGCTATCATGTCACCCCTGATCCTTCTTTTCTCTAGACTAGCCATACCCAAATCCTGCAACCATTCTTCATATGTTTCAGTCTCCAGGCCTTTAATCATCTTAGTTGCTCTTCTCTGCACTTTTTTTTCCAAAGTCTCAACATCTTTTTTTTGTAATGTGATGACCGAAATTGGATGTAGTATTCCAGGGGTAGTCTTACTAAGGTTTTATAAATCTCAGTATATAATATAAGGGATGCAGTGGCTCAGTGACTAAGATGCTGAGCTTGTCAATCGAAAGGTCGGCAGTTCAATGGGTCAAATCCCTAGTGCTGCATAGCGGGGTGAGCTTCCGTTTCTTGTCCCAGCTTCCGCCAACCTAGCAGTTCGAAAGCACGTAAAAAATTCAAGTAGAAAAATAGGTACCACCTTTGGTGGGAAGGGAACAGTGTTCCGTGTATTTTTGGCATTTAGTCATGCCAGCCACATGACCACGGAGACGTCTTCGGACAGCGCTGGCTCTTCGGCTTTGAAACGGAGATGAGCACCGCCCCCTAGAGGCAGGAAGGACTAGCACGTATGTGCGAGGGGAACCTTTACCTTACATAATATAACGATTAAAATTATAAAAAAGTTTATACTGTTGAATATAAGGGTTATGTTCAATATTATGCAAAACACTCTTCCATACATTTTTCCTGAGTCAAAAGGGAATGAGGGGTTTGTGAAGGCTTGCAAACTCAGAGATTGGAAGCCAATCTGATATAATAAAGAAAAATAGTTCAATGATCAAGAGGAGCCTGAGTGGCGTAGGAGGCTAATGCCTCCTACTAAGGCAGCATTTAACATCCAGCTGCCTGCAATTACTGTGAGTTCAATTCTCACCAGGCTCAAGGTTGACTTAGCCTTCCACCCTTTCTAAGGTGGGTAAAATGAGGACCTGGTTTGTGGGGGCAATAAGCTGACTTTGTATAAAATATACAAAAGTATGAAGGCTATTGCTTATCGCATTGTAAACCGCCCTGAGTCTCCGGAGAAGGATTAATTAATTAAAGCAAAAAAAAAAAAAGATAAAATTTGGGGTGATGACTTTTTCTTAGAATAGAATTGAATTCTTTATTGGCCAAGTGTGATTGGACACACAAGGAATTTGTCTTGGTGCATACGCTCTCAATGTACATAAAAGAAAAGATACATTCGTCAAGAATCATAAGGTACAACACTTAATTATAGTCAAAGGGAACAAATAAGCATTTTTGTGTGGGTAACAAATTACCCACACAAAGTTGGCAGAACTGCTGAGACACTGAAAATTATTATATATGCATTAGACCAGGGTTTCTCAACTTTAGGGACTTTAAGATGTGTGGACTTCAGCTCCCAGAATTCCTCAGCCAACTATGCTAAGATAGAGAGCTACACTGACTGTGGAATTCTGAGAGGTGACACCCTCACATCTGGCCTGTTTTGAGAAATGCTGCATTCGACCGAATATGTAAGTAGACGTTCTAAGAAATGTGAGCGCAGAGCAGACTTGCACAGTGATGAGCTCATCATGACAGCAGAGGTTGGCCAGAATTGTAGGTCTACAGAAGAAGGCACTTTGACAGATGAGTTTCTCAAAGGACAAAAAGTCCTACATACTTCAAAGCCAAGGCAACCTGCTGCTAATGGGTCAACAGGAGCTACCTAACAGATGGAAGCAAAGGAGATAAGGTGAGTTGAGTTGACTAAAGGTTGCAGGTGTCAGCAAAAAGGAACCAAGCAGAGTAATTAGGGCCCTGACAGCAGCTTTCCAGACCACTGCGAAGCTCCGTTGGGATTCTTACCCTCCTCATTGCCTTTGAGAGTTTCCAGAAATAAAGTGTCTGTGTCAGTTCTCTTCAATGAGGTGGTTTTCTTGTGATGGCTCTTTTACTGCAGCTAACTTGACCCTCTCTTGCTTGTGATGACTGTTCATATATGTGTGTGTGTGTGTATGTGTGTGTGTAATAGTGGGATAGCACTATTTCTGTCTTTTTGGACTTCATCGGCCAGCCACACCCATATTTTATGACTTTATGACTGGTAGCTCACCAGCTCAAATCCCCCTGCTACTCAGACTAACCCGAGCACAGCCAAGCCCCCACCTAAACAGAACACACACCCATCCAATCAGAGCACAGCCAACCCCCCATCCAATCAAAACACAATTCCACCCAATCAGAACACAGCCAAGCTCCCACCCAATCAGTTCACACCCCCACTGGCAGTTAAAAGGAAGAAACAGCTGCGATCACACACATTGCTCCTAGAAGCACGAAGCCGAGAACACCAGCCTGAACATGACGAATGAGACTTCGTCGAAACGTTGCCAAGACAACTCCAATTTTACGCGGGAGAAAACCCGAATAACCAAAGACCTACATATACATACATACATACATACATACATACATACATACATATATATATATATATATATATATATATGTTGGGTTTTCCTTTTAATTAATTGTTGCATTCTGCTTTTATGAAATGGGGGGCCATACAAATTAGATGATAGATAGATAGATAGATAGATAGATAGATAGATAGATAGATAGATAAATAGATAGATAGATAGATAGATGATAGGAAGGTAGGTAGGTAGGTAGATAAATAGGTAGGTAGGTAGATAGATAGATAGATAGATAGATAGATAGATAGATAGATGATAGGTAGGTAGGTAGGTAGGTAAATAGGGAGGGAGGGAGGGAGAGAGAGAGATGAGAGAGAGAGATGGACAGATGACGGATGCTAGATAGATAGATAGATAGATAGATAGATAGATAGATAGATAGATAGCAGACAGATGATAGACAGACACAGATAGATGATACAATATATAGCAATAAGAATAGCACGTATATACCGCTTTATATTGCTTTATAGCTCTCTCTGGGTGGTTTATAGTGTCAGCATATTTCCCCCAACAATCAGGATCTTCATTTTACCAACCTCAGAAGGATAGAAGGCTGAGTCAACCTTGAGCCAGTCAGGATCAAACTGCTGGCTGTTGGCACAGTTAGCCTGCAATACTGCATTCTAAGCACTGTGCCACCATGGCTAGACAGATGATAGATTGTATTGTATTGTATTGTATTGTATTGTATTGTATTGTATTGTATTGTATTGTATTGTATTGTATTGTATTGTATTGTATTGTATTGTATTGTATTGTATTAGATTAGATTAGATTAGATTAGATTAGATGATAGATTAGATTAGAAGATAGACAGACAGACAAATGATAGATAGACATTAGATAGATAGATAGATAGACAGACAGACAGACAGACAGAATTAGACAGACAGACAGATTGATTTTTGGGCAAACTGTTAAAGAAACATCCACACCAGATTGTTTCATCCCTATGTAATTGTTGCAGCTTTCTGCCCAAGCCCCTTAGGGACCATGATTCTTTCAAGGGACACCAACGAAGGTTGTCTCAGTGTCCTCATAATTCTAGGTTCCTTGGATTCCCAGGAGAATGCAGTGGGCGTGCAGACTGGCTTGCTCCCAGCTCCAGCAAGTTGTTCCCCATCTGCGTCAGTAGCACAGCAGCTGCTAACTTCTGAGGACACTCTGGAAAAAAACAGCAAAACAGATATTCGCCACTGTTGCAAAACCCTGTCATAATGATTAAAGATCTTTACCTCTCTATAGTATCATTATCATTATTATTATTATTATTTACTTTATTCATTAAACATTAAACTCAGTCAACTAAACATTCAAAAATGCATCAGAAATACCATTGACTGGGGCTAATGGTTGATACGGGTTGCTGCCAGCATCCTAGGTATCAACCAAGTACCTTCTTAAGATGTACGATGTTCCAAGTAGCACAGTTTTTTCCAGTTCTGCTGGTGTTGTTATTGTTGTTGTTTTTGTTGTTGTTGTTATTATTATTTTACCAGAGGCCTGCCATGTACTGGGAAGTCTCTCCCCACCCCAATAAATTTATGGGCCATAACTTCAGTCTTCATGGATACATTGAGGGATGACAATTTAGACAATGATGCCCTGCCTCTTTGTAGTTGCAGGTAGTTCCAGGCACCAAGGTTTATAAACTGAAGTCTGAAGTTAGAAAAAGAAAAATCTTAGAAGTCAGTGAGGAACCATTTCTGTATTGTTGTTATGAATACGATATGCCATGAAGTCACCAGAAAATAAGCATGATTTAAAAGATTTGAACATTTTAAAATTCTTCTTCTTCTTCTTCTTCTTCTTCTTCTTCTTCTTCTTCTTCTTTTCTTCTTCTTCTTCTTCTTCTCTTCTTCTTCTTCTTCTTCTTCTTCTTCTTTTCTTCTTTCTTCTTCTTCTTCCTCCCTCCTCCTCCTCCTCCTCCTCCTCCTCCTCCTCCTCCTCCTCCTCTCTTCTTCTTCTTCTTCTTCTTCTTCTTCTTCTTCTTCTTTCTTTCTTCTTCTTCTTCCTCTTCCTCTTCCTCTTCTTCTTCCCTTCCCTTGCACAAAAGTTCTTGCTGAAATGAACAATAACATTTTGTGATAGGTGGAGGTTACTATGTAGAGTCCATAACATACACGTCTTGGAATGAGATGGCAAGTTGAGTGAAGCCAAGGAAAAAAATGTTTGATCTATGCATATTATCTCAGTACTGTTCCATTTGGCTCACTCATATACCACAAGACACACTTCCCAGGCTGTCCTCTTGAACCTAATTTCCCCTCAGTGTTTGAAATTTCCCTCGACTCCTTTTACCAGTTTCATTTTTCACTCACCAACCATTACAGGCATTACATAGTCTACATTCACAGTCTGTACTCCACGCCTGCTGTAAATGAAAATGTTGGTTCTTTACAAAACCACCGGTTTGTTTTTCCTCTTCTCTCACTACTGCACTGATAAATTTTGCCCTGTGCTTGAGTTGTAAACAACAATAAAGCAGGCACGACTTTTTTTCCCAGACTCTGCCTCTTCCTCCCACAATTAAAATTCTAGGCATGGGTGTATGGACTCGACTGCATTAATAACAAAGTGGATGCAGCGCTGTTTTAATTAACAAGACATGTTACTTTTCTGCTTTGCATCTTTAGCTTGGAAATGTGAAGAGTATGGAGTGGTACAATAGCTGAAAGGTTACAGGTTAGAGGTACATACGAAATATGTGAACAATATAGTATACAAGATAAAATATTAAAGTAAGATGGGACGGGAAGGAGAGGAGAGGAGGAGAGGAGATGAAAGGAAAGGAAAGGAGAAGAGATGAAAGGAGAGGAGAGGCGATGAAAGGAAAGAAAAGGAAAGGAGATGAAAGGAAAGGAGAGGAGAAGAGAGGAGAGGAAAGGAGAGGAAAGGAGAGGAAAGGAGAGGAAAGGAGAGGAAAGGAGAGGTGATGAAAGAATGGAAAGGAAAGGAGAGAGATGAAAGGAGAGGAGAGGTGATGAAAGGAGAGGAAAGGAAAGGAGATGAAAGGAAAGGAGAGGAGAAGAGAGGAGATGAGATGAAAGGAGAGGAAAGGAAAGGAAAGGAAAGGAGAGGAGAGGAGAGGAGAGGTGATGAAAGAAAAGGAAAGGAGATGAAAGGAAAGGAGAGGAGGAAGAGAGGAGATGAGATGAAAGGAAAGGAAAGGAAAGGAGAGGTGATGAAAGAAAGGAAAGGAAAGGAGAAGAGATGAAAGGAGAGGAGAGGTGATGAAAGGAAAGGAAAGGAGATGAAAGAAAGGAGAGGAGAAGAGAGGAGAGGAGAGGAGAGGAGATGAAAGGAAATGTTCAACATTTATGTGAAGCCGCTGGGTGAGATCATCCGTGGCTTTGGGGTGAAGTGTCAACTGTAAGCCGACGACACGCAGTTGTACATTTGAACCCCAGGCCACCCCAATGATGCCCTTAACGTGATGTCCCATTTCCTGGAGGCCGTGCGGATCTGGATGAGGAGGAACAGGCTCAGACTCAACCCCTCCAAGATTGAGTGGCTGTGGCTTCCGATGTCCCGATATAGCCAGCTAGAACCATCACTGGCTATTCGGGATGAGATCTTACCCACCTCAGAGAGGGCTCGCAACTTGGGTGTCCTCCTGGACTCACGACTGTCATTGGATGATCATATGACGGCCGTAGCCAGGGGGGCCTTTTATCAGGTTCGCCTGATCTCCCAGTTGCGTCCCTTTCTGGATCGGGACGCCTTGCGCACAGTCACCCACACCCTCGTCACTTCCCGTCTGGACTATTGTAACGGTCTCTACATGGGGCTCCCCTTGAGAAGCACCCGGAGGCTCCAACTGGTCCAGAATGAAGCCGTGTGAGTGATAATGGGGGCGACCCGTCGCTCCCATGTAACACCTCTCTTGCGCGAGCTGCACTGGCTCCCGGTGGTCTTCCGGGTGCATTTCAAGGTGTTGGTTACCACCTTTAAAGCGCTCCATGGCTTAGGGCCTGGGTATTTACAGGACCACCTGCTGTCACTGACTGCCTCCCACCGACTGATACGCTCCCACAGACAGGGCCTCCTCAGGGTGCCGTCGGCCAAACAATGTCGACTGGCGACTCCCAGGGGGAGAGCCTTTTCTGTGGGGGCTCCTGCCCTATGGAACGAATTGCCCCCGGATATACGAAGGATCCCCGACCTCCGTGCCTTCCATCGTGCGCTGAAGACCCTGTTATTCCAACAAGCCGGTCTGATGGGACAATAATTTTAATTGGGTTTTAAATTTGGGTTTTAATATGGTTTTATAAGGGATTTAGAATGGGAATTTTAAATTCGGCCAAAATTGAATTATTTTAATATGGTTTTAAAATTTGTCTTCTATATTGTTTTATTATGGCTGTTCACTGAGTCCTGAGTCCTTCGGGAGAAGGGCGGTATAAAAATATAATAAAATAAATAAATAAATAAATAAATAAATAAAGGAAAGGAAACAAAACAAAAGGAAAGGAGAGGAGATGAGATGAAAGGAGAGGAGAGGAATGGAGAGGAGAGGAAAGGAAAGGAAAGGACAGGTATCTCTGTGTGGATTTTACTCCTCTAGTCCTTGCCTACTATAGGGGGTGGCACTCATCCCATGATAAAAATCACCCTAATATGATGCCATAGAATCGCAAGAAGATATAATGTTATAATATAATGTTATATAATGTTATAATGTTAGCTTCTAAGGAAGCTAACTATCTAATATGGAGCTGCCTGAATCGAACCAGGACAAGCTATGCCAGAATTAAGGGAAAGCTCTTTAGGTGAAAATGGCCAAGAGCCCGCAATGCTACTGTGGTGTGTTGGAACAAACAATAACACATTCAGTTCGAGAATGTCTCCTCAGGAAATTTCAAGGCACCTGGGATGATCTCATGGCAGCCACACCAATGCCAGCGTGTCCCAGGGTCTGGTCCCCCCATCTCAACCTGTAGACTCCTTGGGCAACTTTGCATTGAGAGTTGTTTTCTCTCAGGCCAAGAAACAGTATTGTTCAGAGATGGAAGTGGTGGACCTGAAGTCAGAAGATCTAGGTTTTAGTCCCCTCTCATCTATGGAAGCTTCTGGGGCTGGTCCTTCTCTCTTAGCCCAACTCACCTCATGCACTGTGGTGAGAGGGAAAAAGGGGAAGGGAGAATTCCAACTCCTAAATGAAAGATAAGCTATAAATCTAATCAATACTCCAGCAAAAGAGCCTCATAAATTAAATATTGTTCCTTACTTACAGAAAAGAGTAAAATAATAGGATAACAGAACAATAGAGTTGGTTCCAAAGAATCATAAAGAACTAGCGAGTTCTAGTTTTTTTAAAAAATCAACATGGGGTCTATCACATTGTCATTGAAACCCATCTTTTTTTAAAAAAATACTTGGTTACTATCTTAATTTTTTTTTAAACCACACCCCTGAGAGACTCTGGGTGGCACGTTGGCTCAGCAGTTAAGAAGCTGGGCTTGTTGACTGGAAAGCTGGAAGCCCAGGTTTGAGACCCGAGTGCCAAGCGATGGGGTGAGCTCCCATCCTCGCTTCAGCTCCTGCCAACTGAGCAGTTCGAAAGCATTCAAATGCAAGTAGATAAATAGGTACCACTTCTGTGGGAAGGTAACAGCGCTCCATGACATCATGCTGGCCACATGACCAAAGAAATGTCTTTGGACATCGCTGGCTCAATGGCCTTGAAACGGAGATGAACACCGCCCCCTGCAGTCGGTAACGATTAGTGAAGTAAAATCTGCAAGGATTTCTTTATATTTTACTTTACCTGAAGATATTTGGCTTAATGTTTACCACTTTATCAGCTCCCCTATTTCCCTCACTCTCAGATTGTTGAGACACGGAATGACCCGTTCCCTGGAAGCTGCCGGAAGCCCCATTGAGCAATTCAAGGTAGCAAAAATGAAACAACAACCGAAAGCAGCCATGTTTGCAGTGGGTGATCCTGATTGATGCTGACACCAATTAGCAGTGAACAAAATTCCCCAAATAAAGCAAAGAAGGTTTTTTATTAAGTCTTAAATGCCAATGCCCTGGACTCAGGGCAAAATTCATTAATGATTTTGGCAGGAAGCTTTTAACAACTATCGCTGCTAGGAATGTGAGGGTGAATATTCCATAAATAGCTTCAGGCCGTAGATAACAAAATTGGTGTAATTTTA